CATTGTCCGTGTCTTCCTCCTCTCTCACTTTGCAGAGGTGGATAGCTTTTGTTTGCTGCTCTCAGGAGGTGTAGCTTATCTATGCTTAAATTGCCTTTCTCACTTCTCGAGGAGTCCTACTTCACCTCTTTTGGAGTGGCCCTATGCTTATACAAACCTCTGGTTTGCCTCTTTTCTGGGGAGTGGCTTATCTCTGGCTCAATGAAAATCACAGCGTAGCTTGCCTGTTCTCCCTTGGAGGACAACACAGGACCTATAGGATCTGGCAGGAGTGAAGGTTACACTTTCTGCTATTGTAAAGATGTGCAGCTTTGGAAGTCCATAGGGTAACGTAAACTCTGTCCCGTAGACTAGATGTGAGTCAGAGTGGACTGGATGCCAGTGTTTTCTTTTGTTAGCCTAACTGGATTTTCAGTGTGGGGTGGGCGAAGAGGAATGTCCCCTTGGGGCCGCTCCAGCTAGTTCTAATCTGGCCTGGCGTTAGGGTGTATTTGCTCAGGGCACCAGCCAATGCAACCTTGTTCCGCAAGACGTCGCTTTGCCTCGGCCCGGCCCTACGGTGACGACAAGCCACAGCTTCGAGCACCCCTTCCCAAGATGGCTGCAGGCTGGTGCTGGCAGTGGCAAGCAGGACGCTGGGGGCGGGCCCAGAGGCGGACCCAAGGTCAGGGCCCAGGAGAGCTCATCACCAACTGGCGGGCCGTGTCCTCAGGGCTCAGCTCTGCTCCGGAGCTGGGCACTACGGCCTGAGCTGAGATGTGAGCGCCTGGGGTTCCGGGTGGTGGCGACGGCTGTGGCAGCTCAGGGCAGTGGCGACTGGGCGGGAGAGGCGCAGGCGGCGGGCGAGGCCAGCTGGCGCCCTCGGCAGCCGGCCTTGGGGGTCGCGGGATGAGGAAGCGGACCAAGCCCGTCACCTTGGATAATGAGCGCTGCGTCGCCACGGGTTCGCCCCCCGTAGGCTCAGCAGCGGCGGCGCTGGATGTCCACTGCCGCCTGGCGGGCAAGGGGCCGGCTGAGCCGCTCTGCGTGGCTGACGCTGGCATGAAGCGTGCTCTGGGCAGGTGAGGCGCTGCGCAGGGATGAGGCGGGCCCTGCTCTTGGCCTGCTGGTACCTTCCCAGTTATCCCATCCTCAAGTTACTTGCCTGCAGGAGCGGCTCCCCGTGCTCCCCCACCCCAAATTGTTCTTCTGTGACCCATCTCCGGACTCTTTGATTTGACTGGCAAGTGAAGCTACCCGAGGTCCTCACCAGCCCCTAAGTTGCCAGCCCCGAGGAGGAGCGCTCCTTAAACGCCCCTTTGCCTCCTGTATCCTGGCCCTCTGGGACTCCCTTCCTCCCCACCACTCCCAACCCAGCTCAACACCCCTACTTTTCCCCAGGTGAGCCCCTCAGGGGCCGGCTGCTGGTTTAGGGGCACCTGGGAAATCAGGCCCTGCATTGGGAAAACAGGGAGGGGGTAGGGAAACCACAGGAGAGACTCCTGGACATGGACAGGATGGGTGCTTAGCAGTGGCAGGCTCCAAACCCTGAGTGTTGTGTTATTTGTCTGGCTCTTTTCTTTTGTGTTGGACCTAAACCCGAGCACATGAGCCAGCATCCTGCTTACTGGTTTGTAATGTGTGGAAGCTTACTGGCAACCCCATTTCTCACTTCAGCGATTCTTGTTCTCCTTGGGTAGCCATTTGTCAGAAATGATATTCCTTGCTCAGGAATGCTGGACCTTTGGAGCAGGGTTAATGGGTCCACAGTGTCAAGGGGAAAGGATGGGTACACTACATTTTCGTGGTTGGAGTGGGGGGAACCTTGTCCAGTTGCAGATGACTCGTAGTGTCTGAAGTCAATCTCAAGGATCAGTCGAAGGAGGGAATTACTCTAAAGTCCTGAAGCCATGCTTTCACCTATCGAATAGAAGATGAATGCATTAATGAATGCATACTTAATATGCATTAAAATAAAGCAGACTTAAAAATAGGAGGCTTGTGGTTAAAGGACGTAACCGAAAGGCTGGTTGGTGAACACACTGCCTTAAAGATTTGCAGCTTGGAAAGCCTTAGGGGTCAGTTTTATACTGTTTTATAGAGTCTCTATGAGTTGAAAATGACTCTAGGGAATTGGACTTGGATACAGGTGCATATTTCATAGGGACAAATTTCACATACTGGTTCTTTAATTACCTGGTTGTAGAACATATTCTTGGCAATTAAAAATATTGAATATTATAGCTTAGGTAAAAGTTTGCAAAGAAAATTAGTTTCCCATTCAACAATTTAGATCTAAATCGTTTCTATGACATTGCTTGCTTTAGAGCAAATGCTCTTTTGGTCTTGTATAGTTGAATGTTCTGAGGATCACCTTACTCAGACACTCTTGTTCACTTTATAGACCCACCTATATTAGATAATCTTCAGGGCTGGTCTCACTTCTAAGTTTGCAGGATGTCTAAAGGGTTTTGTCCCAGAAGTCCCACCAATGTTTATCAAGGTAATGAATATGATCTTTTTTGTGTGAATTTGAATTCTGTTATACAAGACCTTCTGTTGTGATTCTATTCAGAGCAGTAGTAACAGTCTATTTGTGTCTGAGGCTTAGGGGGCTGTGGTTTGTATGTTCGCTTATCCTCTTGGACTAAGTGTCCTTGAGTTTTTGGCTTTCTTTAAGGAGCCCGTTTGGTGTAGTGAGCTAAGCATTGAGCCTGCTAATCACAAGGTCATGTGGTTCAAACCTACCAGCTGCTCTGAAGATAGGACTGTTTGCTCCCATCAAGATTTACCGACTTGGAAACCCTAAGTAGTGATTTACCTTTTTTCTACAGTTACTAAGAGTCCTAGTGTGTTTGACAGCAGTGAATTTGGTGTTCTTTACTTGGGAAGCCAGGGTGCTGTAGGTTATACATTGGGCTGGTAATCTCGATGTTAGCAGTTCGAAAACAACAGCCGCTATACGAAAGAAAGGTGAGTGACTTTCTACTCCTGTAAAGAGTTAGTGTCTGAAATCCACACGAGACACTTGACTTGATGGCAGTGAGTTTGGTTTTTTGATCTTCTCCTGTACAGATTCACAGTCTCAGAAACCCACAAGACCGGCAGTCTAACTCAGTCCTCTAGAATCTGTTTTGGAATCAATGCAAGGACAGTTGAATTTGGTTTGCTTTGGGCTTACTTACTAGCCTTTGCTCCAGATGGAAAGAGACTAGTAATTGTATGTTAGATGGCTGCTCTCGAGCTATTTAATCAAGTTGTTGTTGTTGTTGGGTGCCATCGAGTTGGTGCCAACTCATAGTGACGCTATACACAACAGAACAAAACACTGCCCAGCCCTGCACCATCTCACAATTGTTCCTTTGCCTGAGCCCATTGTTGTAGCCACTGTGTCATTCCATCTTGTCAAAGGTCTTTCTCTTTTTCAGTGCCCTACTATTTTACCACACATGGTATCATCTCCAGGGACTGGTCTCTCCTGATAACATGTCTAAAGTACATGAAACGAAGTCTCACCAGGCTTGCCTCGAAGAAGCATTGTGGCTTAAACTCTTCTGAGACAGGTATATTGGTCCTTATGGAAGACCATGGCATTTTCAATATTCTTAGCCAGGACCAGAATGCAAAGGCACCAATTCAAATGCAGTCAGTCTTCCTTACTCATTGTTCAACTTTCACATACATATGCGGTAATTGAAAATATTGTGGCTCAAGGCACGAGCACATTATTCTCAAAGTAACATCCTTGCTGCTACAGCAGAAGGTGATGAAGAAAAAAAAAAAGGTGATGAAAAAACCAGATGGTGCCCTGCTATCAATTGGAATAGTGTCTGGAGTCTTAAAGGCTTGTATTCAAACAAGCAGCCATCTAAACTAGAAGTCAACTAAGTCCACATGGAAGAAGCATTCCAGCTTGTGTGATCAAAGATGACCATAACAAAACTCAAATATGACAAAGGGAAAAGTATCAGAGCCTAAATTGCAAACACCTGGTTTGTAGATTTTGGAGGACAGTGGGAGCCCAAAACCCATCTGCAGAGTTTCTAGTCTGATTAAGCCGCTGGCAGATCCCCATGAGATTCTTCTAGGTGTAGGTATTATTTTATCTTTACCACTTTATTTTCTCTGTTTTTTACTTTTTCTGTTGGGTTTTCCAGTTTACGAAGCACAGAAGTAGAGGCATAGAGTTAAGAACTGTGCAAGGGTTTATAGGAGAGGTAGGGGTAAGAGGTGGGAGGTTAGGGAGGGTGTGGGGGTTGAGGGAACAAACAATATATGTGAGGGGGCAAGGAGCACTCTAGAACTGATTATTAAACAACTCATTTAAAAAGTGATTAAACCATGGTGGGGGAAGGCTCAGACAAGAACATTTTCTAAAACTGATTGTGGTATTGATTGTGGTAATGATTGTAATGTGATTTTGATGTGATTTAACTGTTGAATTGTGTGATGTGTGTATTAAGGGCCGATAAAACTGTAAGAAAAAACATAACATCCTTGCTTTTCAACACTTTAAAGAAGTCTTATTCAGCAGGTTTACACAATGCAATGCACCCTCTGATCTCCTGACTGCTGCTTCCATGTGCATTGATAGTGGATCCAAACAAGACAAAATTCTTGACAACTTCAATCTTGTCTCCATTTATCATGATGTTACCCTCTGGTCTAATTGTGAGGACTTTGATCTTCTTTACATTAAATTGTAATCTATATTGAAGGCTGATGTCCGTAATCTTTATCAGCAAGTGCTTTAAGTTCTCATCACAACTTTCAGGCAGCAAAGTTGTGTTGTCTGCATATCACAGGTTGTTAATAAACATTCCTCCAATCCTGATTCCACATTTTTTTGTTTGAATATTTTTATTTGGAAATGTTTTAAAACAAAGAAATGAAATTTTAGTGACACCGCAAATCATGAGTTTATTATACAAGAGAGACGGAGATTATTTGCATGATGACTGATTTCAGAACGTCAGTGGGACTGGCAGCTTCACATGATGCCATGTCAACAGTGGTTTCCTCTAGTCCACATACTTCGCAAGAATGTCACCAGCTCGAAATAAGAAATCATTCTCATCATCTACAACTACTTTGGTGCCTCCATATTCAGGGAGAACTTTATCTCCAACTTTCACACTCACTGGTTCAATCTTTCCACCCTTTCCTTTCAAGCCAGACACAGCAGCTACTACTGTTGCTTGCAGGAGTTTTCCTTGAGATTTTTCTGGAAGCATCATGCCTCCTTTAGTTAAAGTTTCAGAGGCACTCCTTTCCACTAATACTTGGTCAAAGAGGGGGAGAAACTTTCGAAATGCCTGTCCTGCCATGATGCTTAGGTGGCTGTAGCAAGTACTCCTCTCACACTACGCCGCTGCCCACATTTTTCTTATAAACCTGCTCTTATTATTTGCATTGCATACAGATTTAATAAGTATGCTGAAAAGATACAACCCAGACACACACCTTTCCTGATTTATAAACCATGCAGATGTCCTGGTTCTATTCACATAATTCTTTCTTGATCCATGTACAGGTTCTGCATAAGCACAAATAATAGTGTTCTGGGATTCTCATTCTTCTCAAAGCTATCTCTAATTTGTTATGGTATACACAATGGAATACCGTAGCGTGTCAGCAAAACACAAATAAACATCTTTCTGATATCTATTTTGAGCCAAGATCCATCTGACATAAGCAATAGAATCTCTTGTTCTGCTTCCTCTTTGGAATCTGGCCTGAACCTCAGGCAACTCCTTGTAAGTGTACAGTTGCAACCATTATTAGATGATGATCTTAAGCAATATTTTACTTGCATGTGATCTTCAATGATATGGTCTCATAATTTGGTTATTCTGTTGGGTCACCTTTCTTTGGAATGGGCACAAATATGCATTTCTTCTAGTCAGTTGGCCAAGTAGGTGTCATCCAGATTTCTAGGAATAGAAGAGTGAGTGCTTCCAGTGCTTCATCAACTTATTGAAATATTTCAGTTGGTATTCATTCCATCAATACCTAGAGCCTTGTTTTTGGCTAATGCTTGAAATGTAGTTTAAATTTCTTTCTTCAGCACCATTGGTTCTTGCTATCTGCTACTTCATGGAGTGGTGGAATGATGACTAGTTCTTTTTGGTACAGTGCTCTGTGTAGTCTTTTCCACTTCTCTTAATGTTTACTACATCATTCTATATTTTGCCCATAGAATCTTTCAATATTACAACTCAAGGTGTAAATTTTTCTTGAGTTATTTTAGTTTAGGATATGCTGAGTGTGTACTTCCCTTTTGATTTTCTAATTATAGGTCTTTGCACGTTTCATTAAAAGATTTTACTTAGTATTCTTGAGCTGCCCTTTGAATTTTTCTGTTCAGCACTTTGACTTGGTTTCTTCCACTTACCTTAGCTTCTGTTAAGATTAAGAGCAAGTTTCACAGTCTTTTCTGACATCCGTTGCTGATCTTTTTTATCATTCATGTCTTTTTTGCTTTCTTTATTGTGATAGGCTTTTTAAGCCAACAGTGCACCTGTAAGAAGATATGGGTGGAGTTTAGCCTGCCAATCAGATCTCAGCTTGATGACCTCCTTTTGGAGGTGCTACTAAGGTAAATGGCTTGCTGGAGGCAACCCCCCAACCTCCCGCCTTCAGCTTTCTGTGTGCGAGCCCTGTGATGCAGCCACCACCGTTGGAACTGCATAACTGCACCCACCAGCCTGTCATCTTCCTGATTGCTGCACCATTGCAAGTGGCTCCATGAGTCTGAAGAGGGCCTTATGGACTAGTATCCGACTCACAGGCCTGAGTTGGACTATTGCTTTATTGATATAAACTCTTTCTTACACATATGTAAGTGTCTCTGGATTTGTGTCTCTAGTCAACCCAGCCTGACACACTCATGAAGGATGTTCTTGATGTCATTCTCATCAGATATTCTCTCAATAGTGTGCAATGTGTCAAATCTATTTTTCAGATGTTCCTGAAATTCAGATGGGATACACACAAGGTTGTATTTTGGGTTTACTGGACTTGTTCTAATTTTCTTAACTTCCACCTGAACTTAGAGATGAGAAATTAATGGTCTGTTCTATAGTCAAACCATGGTTTGGTTTTACTTGCTAATGTTGAGCTTCTCCAATGCCTCTTCCCAAAAATGTAGTCAATTTTATTTTTGTGTATTGCTCTCTGGAGAAATCCATGTGTATAGACACCTTTTGTGTTGAAAAAAAGTATTCCTTGATGCAGTCTCCAGATTTGTTTCTATCACCAAAGCCACATTTTCCAACTACTGTCCTTCCTCATTGTTTCAAAGAGCTTTGAGTGCATCTTGATTATGTATTTGATCAATTTAGTATTGAAGATGTTGGTAGAATTCTTCAATTTCTTCATCACTAGCTTTTGTGGTTGACACATAAATTTAAATACGAGTTATATTGATTAGATTTCCTTGAATGTGGTTAAGCAAAATCCTGTCACAAACAACCGTTGAACATTAAGATAGAATTGAAATGTCATTTTAGATGAATGCAAAGCCATTCCTCTTGATTATTTCATTGCACCCTAATCAACTGTATGATTTTCTGATTCAAACTAACTGTACAATACTAGTCCATTACAGGTCACTAACATCTAAAATGTTGATTTTTTTAGATTGTTGATTTTTATGCATTCCATTTCAGTTTTTACAACTTCTAATTTTGTTAGAGCTGTACTTGTACATTCCAAGTTACTATTATTAATTGATATTTCATCAGCAGATTAAGGTCTTGAAGGTTTTATTCTCAGTCTTTACTCCATCTAAGTCATTATGCTTGACTCTACTTTGAGAAAGCACCTCTTCCTTAGTCATATTTTGAGTGCCCCTTCACCCGGGGGGCTTGTCTTCTGGTGCTGTTTGTGACAATGTTCTGCTCCTTTTTATGAAGATTTTAGTATTTGACAATGCTTTGATTCTATCCATAAGATTTTCCTTGACTAATTCCTCAGAATGGAGAGACAATTACTAATTTGTAGTCTATTCTTAGTGTGGAAGCTGTGCTAAAACCGGTCCACTTAGGGTGACCTTGCTCACATGTGAAATACTGATGACAAAGATTCCAGCAACACAGAATCCACGGCAGTATGACAGAATGACAGACAAGTAGCTAAATTAAAGTATAATGTAGATAATTGTGTTTTTGGAGGCATCAGTTGGAATGCCCTTAATTGATACTGGCCGTTCCAGTCTAAAATTTCCAACTAGCCATAAAGAAAACAAAATTTCAACTTCATTGCTTAAAGGATCCTAAAATTAGACTATAGAACCCCCTGTCTCTTAATAAATGCTGCTCAATCCTTCTAGAAAGGCAAAAGCTGAGTTTGTGGTGTGTGTGTGCATGTAGAAGATGATCTCTCACTGCTATTGCGTCAATGCTGACTCTTTATGACTCTGTAGAACAGGATAACTTCCCCTCTGAGATTCTGAGTCTGTAACTGTTAATGGAGTAGAAAGCCCTGTCTTTCTCCTTGAAGAACTTGGTGGTTTAAAATGATGACCTTGCAGTTACCTGCCCGAGTTTTAACAACTACACCATCAAGATTCTTCTGTAAGATGATCTAGCAACTGGTCAATATCTTTTGTAAAATGAATCTGTTTTCTTTGCTGTGGAAACGTTTGTCTGCATTAAAAACTCATGATTTAGCTTTAATGTGCTTGTATTAATAAGTTTGATATAGCACTTAGATAAAATGAGACATCCGTCCTTTGAAGAAATCAATTTGGTACAGATAGGGAGGTTACATATAGAGAAGCAATGCAGAATACACATTGTGGGGGAAACCAGCCCCTCACACTATCACGTATCCGGTAGGCACAATCATACCGTTACGACATATAAAGATTATGCTAAAGTCATAGAGAATAAGAGAGAAGAGGAGTTAAAATAAAGGAGTCACACATTTCATGGTAGCATGCTCACCTCAGCCCTTCTTTGTGGTCCATGTGGGGATGGGTGAGGAGAGGAGGGTAGGAGAGAGATTTATTTCTAACCAAGGCTTATATGTCTTTGGGGGTGTGCAAGTCCCCCTGATTACAGATGAGCACATGCACAGCAGGAAGGGGTTGTTGCCACAGACAGTACAAGCAATAGGAGGGGGGTGATCTAGGGGTGTACACGCAATAGGAAGAGGAGGGAGTAGGGGTGCACCTGTGGCAAGATGGGTAGACCCTATACTCAATATAGCTGCCTAACCTTGGTCATACTTGAGTGGGCTCGCCCTTGCCTTTGGGTTCTCCTTCAAGGGAACAATCCACTACCCTTATCCAGAAAGGTGTGGGTCCTACTTAGGTTGGCCGTCTGATTGCTTTAGATGGCTGATCACCTTTAGGGAGAATACCCTCTGACCTGCTTTCGTTGACCTCCAAGCATACAGCCATTTACCATATGTAGCAGGCAGCGTCTTAGGTTTGGCGTATATTTGAGGGAGACAACTTGGGAGAAATCGTTCTGTATCCCACTTTACTTAAAAAGATGTCTATTTAAGGCATGTGAATGTTTTTTTCTTTCTTTCTTTTTTATTAATTTGAATAATTTTAAGGCTAAATTTGTACATTCCTCCTGACCTTCTTCTTAATTGTCTGAAACAACCTCTCCAACATTATAATGTTTTGTCTTCTCCTTTGTCTAGGTTTCTGCTCAACTGTTGCCTCACAGAGGTCTTCCAGGACTAAAATAGCCTCTCCCCCCACTTATTCTATTAATTTTTTTCTTCAATGCACTTATCTTTTACCTCATAGTATAATTATATATATCCTTGTTGACCTGTTTTATTACTCATCTCTTCCTGCATTAGAGTGGAAGCTGCATAACAACAGGTACATTGTTTTGTAAATGGTTGTATCTTCATTGCTTGGTACCTGATGGGTGACCAAAATGCTTGTTGAATGAATGAATATCTGTAGTTAACCTACAAGTAAAACTGCTCAACTAAGGTGTATTATAACTTTTATTAAAAACTTAAAGTAACATCACACTCAAAGTTGTACCAATTTGTACTCCCATCAACAGTATAAGGTGTCTTCATACACATACTCTTACTAGGATTGCATATTACCAGATATTTTCATTATTTGCTATCTGATCTGAGCAAAATAGCACTAGGTTGATAGCTTTAATGTGCATTTCTTAGTTTTTGTTGGTAGTGACCTTGTAGCGCAGAATATAACTGCTTCTTAAGGTTTCCTAGTCCGTAGTCTTCATGGGAGTAGATCACTAGGTTTTTCTCCTTCAGAGATGCTAGTGGGTTTGAACTGCCAACCTTTCTGGTTAGCAGTAAAACACCTAACCATTGACTCCAC